TGGTGGCGCATGCTTTTAATCCCAGCACTCAGGAGGCAGAGCCAAGTGGATCTCTGTGAGTTCGAGGCCAGCCTGGTCTACAGAGCAAGATCCAGGACAGGCACCAAAACTACACGTAGAAACCCTGTCTTGAAAAACTGATGGAATTTTGCTTGTTTGAGACAGGGTCTCACTATGTAGCCCAGTCTGGCCTTGACTCTAACCATCCTCCTGCCTTGTCTTCCTGTGTGGTGGGATCAACAGACACACCCCCACCACTCCACCCAGCTTTGCAAACATTTTCTGATGCTATAATGATGGTAATGGAAACATCACCCAGAAGAGGATGATGAAGAGATACATGGAGCCAATCTTTCTATGACATTGTCTGCCTTTGGCAAAGGGACTCGCTGACTACTTACTTATCCAGAACACATCATCACAGGCTGCATTTGCAGCCATAACTACTAAGACTTGATTCTAGCAGGGTCTGAAATCAGAGTCCTACATTTCTGCCCCTACCATCTCATCTATGTGTGATTCCTCCTGTACTATTTGTATCTACTGTCAAATCTCTGGGAGACTTACTGGAAGCAGACTGTACTTAGCTGCTGCTGTCCCTTAGACAGAGACCCTTTGCTAGTTAAAAGCCTCATCTCTACAGTTGCTATGGAAACTGTTCCCTTCCTCTCCCCACAATCCATTCTGGCTCCCTGCTTCATGTGCTACTCTTTATGATTGTAGTAGAAAAGGACTGCACGTTTTTCCAAGCCCTTTTTCAGATTCAGATCTGCAACGGGTGGGGTGTGTGAAGAGGCACCCTACCACCTGATATCCTGACAGTATTGTTTTCCTGTCTCTGCTACAAAAAGGATTTTCACAGCCATGTCTAAAATATGTACAGTATGGACTGGCTGGTTAGCTATAATATGTTTCATGATAGGGCCAGGATTTTCTGTGAGGTACTTAACAACCAGAGCATGGCTCAGTGGCAGCCTTGTTGTATCAGGTATTATCACTCTTTTCTATCTTTGTGGGAGTGGGATTTCATGTGTGTGCATGTGAGTGTGATAGGACAGCTTGGAGTGTTGTTCCTCAGACATCCTCTACTTCTTTGTTTAATATGGCAGGGTCTCTCATTGGCCTGGAACTTCACCCGGTAGGCTAGGCTAGCTGTCCAGCAAGCTTCCAGGGACCCAGTGGTCTCTCCCTCCCACCTCACCATCTCTGGGATTACAAGCACACACCACTGTGCCTGGCTCTTTAGGGTTCTGAGAATCTGAACTGAGGTCCTCGTGCTTGCAAGGGTAATGCTTTACCGACTGAACCATCTCCCCAGCCCTGTTTTCTTCTACCATCTCCAAAGTGCAAGGTGAATGGAAGAAAAAGCAAGTGTTGCTGGAGCCTAGAGACAGCTCTTCTGTCCGATACATACAACAGAATTAACCAGGATAGGAGATGCTGTAGTGGTGGAGACACTGAGGAATCGGGGTGGTGGCAAGGGGAGGGGAGCGAGAGATGGAGAGAGGGAGAGGGAAAGAGAGAGAATATTAATTCAGTTCTGCACAGTAACCGCACCGCCTCCTAAGGTTATTCGCTGTGTCGCCATCACTAGTAGTTGGGAAGTTCTTTCCTGGGTTTTGCTGAAAACCTCCATGCTGCAGTCTGAGCTCACTGCACTCACTAGAGATGGAGACTAGCCAACCACTATCCTTGGAAAAACAACTCACTAGGGACTCAGGGCAGGAAGGTCATCCTGTCCCCTTCAATACTGCGCAACCCGCCTGACCACGCCCAGAGCTAGGGGCAAGGACAGGGAAACCCAGGTTGGCGACCTAGACCCTAGCAGGTAACAAAGGGGGAAAAGAAAAAAAAAATCCAGACAACGATAACACCCAGATAGAGACCACTATAGAGACTCCGAGCCAGGGGCAAGATGGCTCCCCACGGTTCAGGCTAGGCTGCGGAACTGCTACACAGTGCTCATCACAGACCCATTTTAACTAGATGCTGTTCCGGCGCGGAGGCCGTGGACTCCGCCCTCTGCTGGGTCCTGCAGAGCCCCTACCCTAGCCCAAGTCGGAGGGGAAAACTTGGATCTGGAAAACTGCAGGTGGATGACTGCAGCTGCCACTCCATCACAGAGCGGTGCGCAGAGCCACAGCTACTGCATCCCGGCCCCGCCCATGCGGTGCTTTGGCTCCGCCCCCAGACAGGCAATGGCCAATGAGCTGCTCCTGCCGCCGGCCTTTAAGAACCGCGCGCACTCTCCCCGCAGCGGACGCAGCCAGCCTAGCACTCCGCGGGAGTTTCCATGGCGACCGAGGCCCGGACTGCGCGGCCTGGCAGCGTTGCCATGGAGACAACTCGGGAGCTGGGGCTCCGGAGCCCCGGCGCATCGCCGGCTCAGAACCCCGCGGAGCCTCTGAGCGAGGCCGGTGCCGCGGTGGCCGCAGCGCGCTGGGATCTGCGGAAATACTCCTTGCTCATCGTGATCGGCGATATCGGAACAGAAAGTCAGCTGAGGGCCGTGCGGGCCCACCTTGAACAAGGTGAGCCGCTGTCCTGGCTGTCCCGCAGCACTCCATCCGTGCCTTTCCGCCATCTGCATTCATCTCCCAGTGCACACTTCTGTAGCCTCCATTTCTATGTGCACTTCTCGAGACCTGTGCCCCTGTCACCTGCATGTCTTCCATGCATCTGTGTCCTCTCGAGCTGCCAACATCTCGCTTGCCCGTTCTTCCCGAAAACCCCGTGCCGTTCCGCAGTCTCCCGGAGCAGCAAGAGCTCCGGGCAGACCCTGGAGTCCCTCTGGTCACACCCCTTTCCCGCAGTGCCTCGACCAGACGTCGGAAAGTCCTCGCCAGACCCTGAAAAGCCCATGTCCCTACCTTACAGTTTCTTCTTTAGGGGAGCTTTCTGAACGCAGGGTACACATCACAAACCTCTGAATGCTGGCAGCCAAGTGGAGAGAGTGACCTTCGTGGCTCCTCCGCTCACCTCCCTCAGCTCTGCCTGTGGCGCAGTGCTGCGGAGCCACCTGCGGGTGGAAGCGAGCCTCCTCCGAGGGGTGGAGGTAAGGGAGGGGGGGCATAGGAAGAGAATCGAGAATCTAATCTCGCTGGAGGAATCATTATGAAAACCAACAGTACATGGGAATAGACCCTTGGGTGTCGCTTCTACAATCACTGGACAGCCTTGCAAAATAAAACAAAAACTGCAAGCTCATGTATTACCAAACTCGGTCTAAACTCTGCTCTTTGCCCTCTGGCTCCCACAAAGGGGAAAAGGCAGTTGTGAGATACCTAGAAGTGCTAGCTACCCTCCTTAGAGGTGTTACCTTCCTCGCCGCTCCTCTTCCAGGAGCTTGACAGTGCTCTCGGCAGTCCCACCAGATGACTTTGCCTAGAACCCTCTCTTGTCTTTTCTTTCACAGGGATTCTCTCCTGGAACATTGACTTATCCTCCTTTGACTTGAACCAACAGTTGAGACTCTTCATTACCCGGCACCTAGCTCACTTCTCCTCAGAGGTCAAAGGTTAGGACTAGGGTCCTTTGTCTCGGTCCTTCGGGTGTGGGCTGGAAGAGGAGAGGTCCAGTATCCAGGGCAGAACTGGCCTCGTGGGAGGTTTGAGCAGGGGAGAAGGGAGGGTGGGAGGGTTTGTTTTTTTTTAATGGCTCCACAGCTATCCAGACATTCCCAGTGCACTCTTCAAACACATGATATGATGTCAGAACATAATTTTTCCAAGAAGAGCATTATTTGTACACAGCAGATGACAAGAGCTGCTAAGAAAGTGCTCAGGTCACTTTCAGGCAAAAACCCAGGCTTTTCTTCCATGTCCCCCTTTCTGCTTCCCCCAGCCTCCCTGTTCCCCCTTATGCACACCCCAGAGTGCCTCGCTCAACATCCCAGACCCGTGTTTCTCACAGCCCACCCTTCAGGACGCATTTCCGTTTCCTCTTCACTTAGCCAGCAGCTCTGCAGAGCGAGCAGAATGCTGCTCTCTAAGGCTGAGCAGATCAGCACCATCAGATCAAGGCTGGGGCAAAGGGCTCTGGATTTCTTGAGGCTTGGTTCTGGGATCATTTCTGCTGAGTAGGAGAAATAGTCTAGAAGTGTGAGATAAGACTTTAGGAATTATCATTCTATGGCCGATGTCTACTGAGTACATGACGTCCTACATCCCTTGATAAAGGTGTTGGACGTGTGGTTGGATTATTGTAAATGTTGACACACCAATCCATGCAACTTTCTTTTTTCAAAAAACAGGGTCTCACTATGTAGTCTGAGCTGACCTTGACTTGACATATAGTCTAGGGTGGTATCAAACCTGTGATCCTGTCTCTACCTCCTGAGTGCTAGGACTGTAGGCATGCATCACCAGACCTGCTTCCATGGAGTTTTATAGAATGTGAATTCTGTTAGGCTCATAGTCATTGCCACCGAGTGACAGAATTCATATGTCAATAATTCTCAACAGTCTAGTACAGTAGAAAGTCACCTCTTTCTGCGTCTCCAGTCTGGCGGATCTTTGGTCATTCCCTCACTGATAATTTTTCATGAGCTGCTGAGAAGTTGGAGAAAACTAGGCTAAC